GCTGGTACTTGGCCTCGTGGGGCTCGGGGCGGGCGGGTTCTTTGTGCACCTGGGCGTAGGAAGGCTCGGGTGCTGCTGCTGCGCTGCCGGAGGGGCTGCGCAGCCCCCGAGCCCACCCCCGGGAGCCGGTCTTGGCCGGGAGCGATGGCGGCGGAGCACCGGGAGCCTGGGGGAGAGATGGGGCAGGACAGAGGTGAGGGCTGGGAGTGGGTGTCACTGCATCTCCCCGCCTCCACGGGAGGGTGCCTCCTGTTTTTGGGAAGCGCCTCCATCCCCTCTGCCCTGTTACCTCCCTGGCGGAGCTGCCCTCGGCCCTGGCGGACTCCAGGCACACGGAGCGGTGCTCTGGGAGCTTCGCTGGGGCTTGGCTCGGTGGGGAACGTGCAGCATCGCTGCCAGCCGGGGGCTGTGTCCGCCCTGGGGGCTTCTCCTTCTGCAGGGAGAGCAGAGAGATGTGGGATGGGTGCGTGGGCAGCGCACACCCAGCCGGGCGCTGGCTCCTTGCTCCGCTAGCCACGGTGCTTCCGACGTGATGCTTGGACTCCTCTTGGCTGTTTGGACAAATCCCCCGGTCCGTGCAGCCGGAATGGGGCTCAGGGGGCTCTGGGGGCTCTCCCGGGACTCACCCGTCCGCAGGGCAGGGGCACGGTGAGGAACTCGTGGTACGGCGTCACCGGGGCCGTGGCGTGGTGCTGCAGCAGCCCGGCCAGCTCGGCGTGGGCGCTGCGCTCCCCCAGGATCACGTAGCGCCCGTCCGGCAGCTGGTCCAGCACGAAGTGCCGGCAGCGCTCCCTGCCCCTGCCGGGAGAAGGGCTGGCACGGCACGGCACGGCACGGCATGGCACGGCATGGCACGGGAGGGGACTGAGCTCCTCGGCCGCTGCCTCGGGCAGGGCTGGGCCCCTCACCTGTAGGAGAGGACGAAGCCCACGGTGCTCTCGCTGAAGCGGACCAGGAAACAGCCCAGGGGCTGATCCTGCAGCAGCTCCTCTGCCTCCCTGCGGGAAGGGACACCGAGCCCTTCAAGCTCACCCCCTTGGGGTGATCCGGGAGTCCAGCTCCCTGTTTAGGAGCCCAGGGCTGGGGACACCGGCCCTGCTCCCCGCCCTGGCCTCCCCTGGCTCACCTGCGGCTGATGAAGCCGTGGAACCACGGGGGGAACTCCCCCTCGGGCCCCAACCTCTGGGCTTGTGTCTGCTCAAACCACAGCCTGGTGAGGGCACGCAGGGCCTCCTGCTCCGGCCACGGCTCCCCGGCAGCCGGGGGCTGGGCTGCTGGAGGTGCCCAGAAGCCTGGAGACACCTGCAGGGAAGGGAACAGCCCCGGGAGCTCAGGTGAGGATGTTCTGCTCCCAGTGCAGCCCGTGAGGACATGGCCCCAAGGGTGTGGGGTGGTGAGCTGGGCTCGTGTCCCCCTCGTGTCCCCCCTCGTGTCCCCCCTCGTGTCCCCCCTCGTGTCCCCCTCGTGTCCCCCTCGTGTCCCCGTCGTGTCCCCCTCGTGTCCCCCTGTCCTACCCTGCCATGCCTGCTGTGGTGTCCCGGCGCCTGCTCTGCCCCCTGGGGCTGGCTGGGGGTTCTGTTGGGTGCTGCCTCGGCTCTGGCTGTGCTGTCCTCACCAAAGGGCTTGAAGGTGATGAAGAGGGGACGGTCACGGTCGTCATCCATGGAGTGCCCTGTCACAGGGAGTGGGGAGGAAAAGGCTCAGGGCAGGGGGGGCTCCTTTGAGGGGAGCACTGGCGAGTCTGGGGGCTCCAAGACACCCCCGCCGGCCCTGCACCAACAACCTGGGGAAGCTTCACCTTCACCTTGTGCTCCCCAGGCTCAGCACCCCGATTCTCCCCAGGGAGAGAATTCTCCCTGTGCCTGCATGATGGGGAGGGACCTGGGGACCCCAAAAGAGAAAAGCCCTGGGGACAGAGATGTAGGTGGGGAGGAGCTGAGGACAGAGCCTGTGAATGCTCCAGCCCCTCTGAAGTCCCCAGCGTGTCAGGCCAGCCCTGGGTAGGGGAGGGAGAGGCTGAGCAGCTCCCGAGGGACCTTGAGCTTGACCCTGAGCTGCCAACACCCAGCAAAACAACGCTAATCCCCAGCAGAAGCGTGAGGGGGTGGGAAATGCTGGGGCTGGTTGGATCTGGGAGGCAAAGCTGAGTCAGGGGAGTGGGTCGAGGCTTGTCTGAGAACGAGGGGATCCAGCAAAGGCACCCCAGCTCCACCTTTAACCCAGGGCCGTGCCCAGCCCGGCCCTGCAGGCAGCGGGAGGTGAGGTGACAAAGACAAACAAAACATCCCAAACTGCTGTGACCCAGCTCGGGGAGTGCTGGCGAGGAGAATTCGGGTCAGCTCCTGCCCGGGCACGCCAGGCTGTGGGGACAATGCCAGTCCTGAGCTCGCCGTGCATCCCCCAGCTGGGTGGGGGTGCTGGGCAGGGGTCTGGGCTCAGCCCCGCTCCCCATCCCAGGTGGGGCAGCTCAGGGGGATTTGCTGCCTGGGGCAGGATGTGCCTCTGAAACCCTGCGCTCCTGAGCTTGGAACGAGTCAGCTCAGTGCTGAAACGGGCTGAAAGCTTCGCTCCCTGAGACATTTCCGGGCTGAACTTCCCCCTTTGGAGAGGGGAAGGGCTGCTGTGGGCAGGGGACCCCAAACCTTCTCTTTTCACCCCATTATCGTGCCTGTTGTCCTGCCTTTGGGCAGGGGGAGCATCCCTGCTCAGGGTTTGCTCCTTGGCCTCGCTGCAAACCCAACCCCAGCCCCCAGCCCCAGCTCAGGCTCCTACCTCTGCTCGGCCCCGCGGGGCTCTGGGTGTCCGTGGCTGGTGATGCAGGGGCAGGGGACGGGCAGGGGACGGGCAGGGGACGGGCAGGGGACACGCAGGGGACACGCAGGGTGAGGCAGCACCTCTGCCCTGCTGTGCTCTGCCTCTGCTGCCCGCCACAGGAAGGAAGCAGCGACCAGAGCTGCGAGAGCGTGACGGGGAAACGTCACGGGAAGGTGGCCTGGTGGCCCCGGGGTGACAGCCAGGTGACAGCGGCAGCCTCGGGACAGGCTGCGCCGTGGCGAGGAGGGGACTGTGGCCACCTGGCCACCAGCACATCCAAGCCTGCAAAGGTGGCATTGTCCCTTTCTGTCTGCACCATGGGACCTGCCAGTGCTGGGGACAGCAGAGGGGACAGCAGAGCAGGATGGGGACAGCAGAGCAGGATGGGGACAGCAGAACTCCATGGGGACAGCAGAGCAGGATGGGGACAGCAGGCTCCGAGGGGACAGTAGGCTCCGAGGGGACAGTAGGCTCCGAGGGGACAGCAGAGCTCCATGGGGACAGCAGGCTCCGAGGGGACAGCAGTCTTGCTGGGCCCAGGCTCACCCCAGGAGCCCAGATTCAGTCCTGGCACGGTGTAAACCAGCACCATTCCCCTCCTCAGGCTCTGGGTGCCCGAGCTGGGCCATTCTGGGCCGTTCTGGGCTGTCCTGGACTGTTCTGGGCCGTTCTGGGTTGTTCTAGGCCATTCTGGACCGTTCTGGGCCATTTGGGGCTGTTCTGGGCCATTTTGGGCTGTTCTGGGCCATTCTGGACCGTTCTGGGCAGTTCTGGGCTGACCTGGACTGTTCTGGGCTGTCCTGGACTGTTCTTGGATGTTCTGGGCTGTTCTTGGATGTTCTGGGCCGTTGTGGGCCGTTGTGGGCCGTTTTGGGCCGTTCTGGACTGTTCTGGGCCGTCCTGGGCCGTTCTGGACCATTCTGGGCCGTTCTGGGCCGTTCTGGGCCGTTTTGGGCCATCCTGGGCTGTCCTGGGCCGTTCTGGACCGTCCTGGGCCATTCTGGGCCGTCCTGGGCTGTCCTGGGCCATCCTGGGGGCACCAGCGCCGCTGTGGGGAGCAGCAGCCCGGCTGCCCTGCCCCGTGTCCGCTGCCACGCTCGGCCCAGGCGGTGCCAGGCTCCAGCTGGAGCCAGGGAGAGCCGTGCCAAGCCCATGGCTGGGGAATTAGGCCAAGGAGAAGGGCTGGGAGCGGCTCATCCATCGCACCGGGAGCAGGGACGGGCTCACCGTGCGGCGGCTCCGCGAGCCCCGGGGCGGTGCCCGGTGCCCCCCGGCTGCCTCCACCTAAAAAAAACTCGTCCCTCCCCAAAACCTTCACGGCCCCGCGCGTTTCCCGTGGCGGTGGCAGCCAGGCTTCCTGTTTGCCATCCCCACGGGCACGGGGGAGAGGCGCTGACCGGCGGCATCGCCCGCCCGCGGCTCGTCCCGTCGTGTCCCGGCCGCTCCGCAACGAGCTGAGCCTGCAACCAGCAGGATTTGGTCCTAAAAAGGCTTTTTTGGGCTCCTCCTCAGAGCCGGGGCTGCTCTCGAGAGCCGGCGGGAGGAGGAAGGCAAAGAGCCGGAGCCTGCCCCGCTCCCCGGGAATGCGGCGCTGAGGAAGGTGAGGAAGATCCTGGCGCTGCCAGGGCTGCTGGAGGAAGGCTGGAGCTGGAGGTGAGGGGTCCCAGGTGCCCGTGGCACGCCAGCTTCGGGGCTGGCCTTGGTTGGGGGGGGTTTTGGGGTGCACCGGGGTTTGTTGGAAGTTGGATGCTGAGCCGGCAGCTCGTTTTTGGGCAGCCGGTGCCGAGGCCGGGCTGGTTTTCCTGCTGAGTGGCGTGGTGGGACAGGACCCTCTGTCCCCGCAGCCCCCGTGGGTCCCGTTCTGCCCAGGAGCTCAGCGGTTTCCTCCGGGACCTGTGGCCACCCGTGCCTCAGTTTCCCTCCTTTCCAAAGCAGCACAATGCCAGGGCGTGCCTGGCAAGGCACGGGGGCATCAGCTGCTGCTGTCCCTCCCCAGGGGACAAACAGACACACTGTCTGTCCCCCACGGACACGTCACACGGCCGGGGAGCTTGGCCCGGCTTCAGCCGCAGCCGCCCCCGGGCACGTACCCGCCGGGGGTGGGCCAGCTCCGGGCCGTGCCAGGGTGCCCCGGGTGCCCCGGGGGCCAGGGGACAGCCAGGGCGGGCACGGACTGTCCCCGGTGCTGGCTGCGGGCTGGGGAGTGAGGAAGAGGCGCTGCTGGATGTGGAGGAAGGCTCGGGGAGGGTAAGGGGGCACAGCTGGGCTGGCAGGGGGAGAGGCTGGAGGGGAACGGGGCTTGGGGACCACAGGGTGTCCTTTGGGGTCCCGGGGGGGGACAGGAAGGGTCCCAGGTCCTGTTTGGTGCAGCACAGCCCATGGGGCTGGGAACGGCGTCCAGCAGCGGGATGTGCCTCTGTCCTCAGGGCAGGACTGTCCCTGTCCCT